GGGAGGGGGAGGGGCGCGGGCAGAGGAGGAGGAGAGGCTGTTTGGCCAGCAGCAGCAGCTGGCGTCTGAGCTCGCTCTGACGAGAGGTTTGCTGACTGCAGCGGAGGAGAGGTCTAGCCGAGATGCGGCCGAGATCTAGCCGAGGTCTAGCCGAGGTCTAGCCGAGGAGAGGTCTAGCCGAGATCTGGCCGAGATCTAGCCGAGGTCTAGCCGAGGTCTAGCCGAGGAGAGGTCTAGCCGAGATGCGGCCGAGATCTGGCCGAGGTCTGGCCGAGGTCTGGCCGAGGTCTGGCCGAGATGTGGCCGAGATCTAGCCGAGGTCTAGCCGAGGTCTGGCCGAGGTCTGGCCGAGATGTGGCCGAGGTCTAGCCGAGGTCTAGCCGAGATGCAGCCGAGATCTAGCCGAGGTCTGGCCGAGATCTGGCCGAGGTCTGGCCGAGGTGCAGCCGAGGTGCAGCCGAGGTGCAGCCGAGGTGCAGCCGAGGTCTAGGCGAAAGGTGTGCCGTTCCCTTGCGCTACCTTAGGCGGCGCTCGCCACTTCTCGAGACGCCGAGGCGGCGGCGGTGAGGCGAGCGGCGGAGCAGGCGGCGGCACTCTCAAAGCTGGAGGACCAGCTGCTGTCTCGGGGGCGGGCGGGCGGCGGCGAGGCTGCCGCCGCCTCCTCCTCCCTCACCCTTGCGTCAGTGCTGCACCAGCTCTCTCCCGCGGCGGCGGCGTCGCAGCGCCAGCCGCCCCCGTCGCCGGGCGGCTCGAGGCTCGACGCCGCTGAAGCTGGCGGCGGCGAGGCGGAGGCGGACGGCGGCGCGATGATGCGGACATTGCTGTCTCAGGTGAGTTAACAAGTTAATTCGGGTTAGTTATAGTGAGTAAATAGCTGATTGATGATGCGGGCGTTGCTGTCGTAGCGCGAGCGGGCGCGGCGAGAGGCTGAGGCGGCGGCGGCGGAGGCGGGGCGGTTGCGCGAGCAGCTCCGGTCGACGCAGTCGAAGGGGCGGCAGCTGCACAGCGACAACCTCGCGCTGTACGAGAAGGTTCGAAACCCCTAACCATAACCCTAACCCTAGCCCTAGCCCTAGCCCTAGCCCTAACCCTAACCCTAACCCTAACCCTAGCCCTAACCCTAACCCTAACCCTAGCCCTAACCCTAACCTCGCGCTGTACGAGAAGGTTCGCTTCCTCGAGGCTCTCGGGGGCAAAGCAAGGGGGGCCGGAGGGGCGGGCGCGGGGGGCGGAGCGGGCGGGCCAGGAGCCGGGCTTGCCGCGGCGGCGGAGCAGACATACGGGAGAGAGTACGAGGCCACGATCAGCCCCTTCTCGGCCTTCCAGCGGCGCGAGCGGGCGGCGAGGCTGGCGGAGCTGTCGCCGCCTGAGAAGCTATTGCTCGCCGTGTCGTCGCTGCTCCTCTCCCATCGGCGGGCAAGGCGCGGCTTGCTAGAGGCGGGTCATCTCTCCCCGTGTCTCCCCGTCTCTCCGCCCGTCTCTGCACGACACCGTAGTCCCGCCCTGAGGATGGCGTAGCGACCACGTAGGCTGTACATGTCCCTGCCACTTCCGAGACACTTCCGAGACACTTCCGAGACACTTCCGAGACACTTCCGAGACACGTCCGAGACACTTCCGAGACACGTCCGAGACACTTCCGAGACTGCGTAGGCTCGGCTTGCTCGCGTACATGTCGCTGCTCCACCTGATGGTCTTCGGCACGACAGTGCACCACGCCCTCGTGCACTCGGTGGCTTACCCGAGATTACGCGAGATTACCCGAGATTACCCGAGATTACCCGAGATTACACGGCAGTGCACCACGCCCTCGTGCATTCGGTGGCACAGCGGCACATCAAGCTGTTGGTGAGTATGGGGTGGTACTTATGAGTGATTAATTGTTGATTAGGTGGCGCAGCGGCACATCGAGCCCGTGCACGCGCCTCACGGGATCGGAGTGCACCCGCAAGAGAGGCTCTAGCGCGGTAGAGGCCCCGGTGAGCTGCCGCTCACTCGCCGGCCTCACCCCCCCCCCCCTCTCTCTCTCTCTCTCTCTCTCTCTCTCTCTCTCTCTCTCTCTCTCTCTCTCTCTCTCTCTATCTATCTCTCTTTCCATCTCCCTGGCCCCTCCCCCTCTTCTCTCGCTCGCTGCCAAAATAATTAAATGGTGGTAAGATTTACCCGTGGACTTTCTGAGGCAAAATATGACAAAAATCGTAAATCGAAAAAATCGGCAAAATACCCGGTATTTTCCAGGGAGTATACCCCCTTCGGCCCGGCGACCAGAGAGAGGGGGATGCCGCCGAATTTCGGAGAAGAGAAAATCACATTCCATGTGCTAGGATTCCCATGTGTACATCGGTCATCGCACTCACCTTCCCTCCCAAAATCACCTTCCCATGGTGTACATACCTGTCTACTCGCGATTCGTAACATTGGTTTGGCGGTGGCGGAGAAGCCTGGCGCCTGGCGGGCTATGTTGGCTACTCGAATCTAGGGTACCATACTTGACCCCCCCCCCCCCCCCTTGGCGCCTTGTGATTTTCGTGCGAAAGCCCCCGATCTCGGCGGGGCGTCAGCGCCTCTCGGACGGTGGGGCATCATGAGCTCGCGGGGCTGCCCGACGGCGCGGGCCTCACACTTGAGCAGACCGACTTCTGTCCTCGGCCCTTCTCAGAAGGGCTACCCGGCCAACTGCTTCTTTCGGCGCGCGCCCAGCCGCTCGGCGCATTTGGGGGGATCCAAGGGGTCGGTCACGGGCGGTCGCGGCGAGCAATCAGTCGGGGGCGCGCTGCATATCACAGTTGCTATTTGTCAGCCATGTCTTCGTTCTCAAGGGGCTCCTTTGTTGATAGGCGGAGCCACGACTTCTCCGACGGCCTCGCACACGACTACGCGTGCCGAGTTCCTTGGCAGCCGCTCCTTTCGGTTTGCGTTCCGCCCCTCGACTTCGCTCCCACAATCGTGTATAGTGATTTGCCGTCTTGACGCATGGCTGTTGTACCTTAGGCGCCCGCCGATACCGGGCGACCGACCGTGGAATCCCAACTGGGAAAAGGCTTCATCACCCAGAGGACCCTCCACGTCGTTGGCGCCCACCTTGAGCTCAACTGACGAGCTCGAGGTCGACGGCAGACCGACGCTCGATCTCGATCTCGAATGACCACGCCGAATAGGTTGTTTGAACCTCAACCTCTCATAGACGAGCACGCAGCGCCATCCGCCATATGAGAGGTAATTTCTTCTCAATAAGGTAAGGCAGGTGGTCCACGGAACGCTTCCATGGCGACTACCCGACGGCGCATTCGTCTTAGTTGTCTCGCCGACACACGAGGTAACAAGGTCTGTGAAGCTGAAGGGATTGGCTAGTTCCATTTCACTCAGACACGCTAATCTTGAAAACGTCCAACGGAGCTCCGTGTTGCTCCCAGCGCCCTCCCCCGCGCTTCCTGCGGCCATGGCCGATGATACTAGTATGAGAGGTCATCTGGCTACCGCGAGCGCGACTCAACTCGCCGACGTCGTCCGATGATTGTGCCTCAAAGTCAGCCTCCGGAGGCTATCGTGGGGTCGAGCCGGCAGTAGCCGTGACATGTGGTTCCACCACCCCTCGTATGCTTTGCCTCTGACCGCCACCGTTCCCAGGCTGCCAAATGGGATGGAAAGGAAGGCTCGGCGAGCGTATAGAAGCGTGCTCGACCTCGTCGTGGCAACCTGCACGGCAGCGCTGGTAGGCGCGATGAGCGTCGTGCCACCTGACCCGAGACGGGTCGCAGGCGTCGTACCGAGCGCGTCGAGACCGTGTCCTGATGTGATCTGCACGGGTGAGTCACGTCGGCGTCAAAGGAGCGACGTGCGACCTGTCAGAGCTTGATCTCCGATCTCAGCGGCGTCGAGTCGTCTCCGGCGCGCGACAAAGGTACATCCCCAGGACGCGCAGAGGCAGCTGCGATCCAGCGGAGTGGACGGTAACGCACCGCGCCACCTGCTGTGCGTTACCGTCCACTCGGCGGGGTCGCAGCTGCCTCTGGAAGGCACCCAGATGTACCTTTGTCGCGCAAATGGTCAAATCAAGGTTTTGTAACGCGAGCTAAATAAATAAATAAAACCTCCAACCTCCTTCCTTTTTGAGCAGGTGTGACGCCGCGCGAGCGACGCTCCGAGATCGCCCGAGATAGCGCGGCGCGGCCCCGAGATCGCCCGAGATAGCGCGAGATCGCCCGAGATAGCGCGGCGCGGCCCCGAGATCGCCCGAGATAGCGCGAGATTGCCGGCGCGGCCCGGGGCGGGGTGGATGGGTTGGGAGCGAGGGGGCGGAAGTGCTCAGTGCGGTAGATGGTCAGCTCGAGGCGCGTGAGCCGGACCTGTGAGCCGGACCACCCCCTCTTGAACCCTGCGTTGTTGAGCCAGGACTCAACATACTCGGGCTGTCGCCGTCCCAAACTGTCACTCCCCTCTCTCCCGGCCGGGGTGGGGCGCGCGCGGGGGCGGCGGGTGTGCGGCGAGTGTGCGGGATGTCTGTGGGCCCGAGAGCGATATGCCATGTCCGCCTTGCGTTGTTTCATAACATCGAAGGCTAAGCTCAATTCGTGCCGTCGGCTGGCGTCGGCATCGCGGTCGCGCGCCGCCACTGCTCGTCGTCAAGCATGTGCCAGTACTGCTCGCCCTGGTGGCCGTCGTATTCGACCTCGTGCACGAGCCGGCCGTCCACGTCCTCCTCCCGCCCCGCGATGGTGGCCGGCCACCACAAGCCCTGCTCGCCCAGGATCTCGACGTGCGTTCCCGTCTCCACGATGGTGTGCCCCGCCTGCTTCGCCGTCTCGTCTACCCGCAGCCGCTCCCGCCGCTCCCTCTGGCCCTCCCTCGCCGTCGGAAGGGCGTAGTTCGGGCCGCTCTCCTCCACGCCGGCCAGCACGTCCGCGGCGCTCACCGCCTCGACGTCCATCGCCTCCTCCGCCGCCGGCTCGGTCGTGCCGCCCGCTGCCTCGCGTTGTCTGCGCTGCCGCTCGCGCTCGTGGTGTGCTGCTCGGCGCTCGACGCCGCCGCCCTCGTGCACGCACGCCGCCTGCGGTGCCATCTCGCCGCAGGGCGAAGGCCAACCGCAAATTTCGCACAAACTCCGTGCAAAGCCCCTTCGAACGCGCGAAAGCGCCGGCTTTCGAACCTCGGCGCCCGCCCTCTTTCTGGCCGCGTCCCTCCCCTGTCCGATCTTCTGCATTCACTCTTTACATACATAAATAAACCACGTACACGCTCTCTACTGTGAGATGGGTAAAAAGGAACAGGCCCCCGCCCTTGCGATCTTTGGAATAAAATCCCGACTGCGCCTCTGATCGAGACACATCGCCTCCGCCCTCACCGCACACCGGGCTCATCGCACATCGGCTCGACGTGGGCGGGGACATTGACGAGCTTGTGTTCCGACCCAACCCTGAGCTTCTCTAGAGCGCAGCCGCTCCGGACGAGGAGTGATTACACGGGGGGAGAGGGCGCTTGTGTCTCTAGTATTTCGAGAGACTAATTTATTCACAGCTGCGGGGAGCGTGTGCGGTGTGTCCCAGGAGCCAACTTGACGGACCCCCCCCCCCCCCCCCCGTTAGATTTTTTGGCCGTCCCGCGCCGGGTAAGGGGGTAGTTCTGCCTTTGTGCTCCCGTGTGGTGTTGGGCCCTCTCCTTTTTTGAAGGATGTTCCTGAGCGTTGGCTTAAAACGGGATTCTTTTTCCTGCTGTTGAGGCTAGAGACTCTCTCGCTTCACGGTGCTGTCCTCCATCCGTGCGGCGTCGGAGAGGATGTTTGGCCTACTGCCATGCTAACTGTTGTTAAAGAGCGGCCACGGTGGGTTCGTGTGTCCCCA